TCACCCACAGAGCAGGGCGATCAGGGGGTTGGGGCACCACCACTGTCACACTCAGGGCAGGGCCGATGGGGAGGTTATGGCTCTAGCCTGTCACACACAGAACAGGGCCCGTGGGGGGGGGGGGGGGGGGGTTGGGGCGCCTTCCCCTGTCACGAACAGAGCAGGGCGGATAGGGAGGTTGTGGCCCCGCCCCCTGTCACACACAGAGCCGCAGGGCGATCAGGGGGTTTGGGCACTGCCCCCTGTCACGCTGATCCCGGTTCCGGGAGGCCTCGCTGCTCCGCTGATCCCGGTGCTGGGAGGCATATTACCCTTTTACTATATAGGATAGAAGCCTGGTGCATGGGTGGGGGCCGGCTGGTTTGCCCTGAAGGGTGTCCTGGATCAGGGTGGGGGTCCTGCTTGGGTGCCTGGCCAGCCTGGGTGAGGGGATGATGGCTGTTTGCATCTGGTCACACCCCCTTCAGGGTGGGGGTCCCGCTTGGGTGCCTGGCCAGCCTGGTTGAGGGGATGATGGCTGTTTGCATCTGGTCACACCCCCTTTAGGGTGGGGGTCCCCACTGGGGTGGCCAGCCTGAGTGAGGGGCTGAGGGCCGTTTTCAGGCTGGCGGGTGACTGAAGCTCCCAACCTGTCATTTTTTCCTTTTTTTTTTATTCTGGGCCAGCTTTAGCTCTGAGGCTCTCCTCCAGCTATGAGACCTCCGCTGCTGAAAGCAGGTTTCTGGCCTTTGTTTACCTTCTGTACTTGAAACAATGTTGCGGTCCTGCTGGCTGAAGCCCGGGGTTTTGTTTAGCTTCTGTATTTGTTACAATGTTGCTTAGAGTGCAGCTGAGAGGCCGGCAAGGCAGGCAGGGAATCTTGGCTTCCTCCGTCACTGAAGCAAGCAAGCCTCCCTGTTCGCGTCAGCTGCCTGGCTGCCAGCCGCCCATCTTGGTTGGCAGTTAATTTGCATATCTCACTGATTAGCCAATGGGAAGGGTAGCGGCTGTATGGCTAATTACCATGTTTATCTTTTATTAGATAGGATTAGTTTCAAGTGTATGGCATAGTGGTTAGACAATCATGCACTTTACAAAGTATTCCCCTGATATTTCCAGTATCCAACTGGCACCATACATAGTTACTACTAACTGGCCATGATTTTTTTAAAATATCTGCTCAACTAACTAAATAAAGCAGGAAAATGAAATATTTCACACTTCATTAAGAAATAGCCCAGCAAACCCTGGCCTGTATGGCTCAGTTGGTTGGAGCATTGTCCATGCACTGAAAGGTCCCAGATTCAATTCCCAGTCAGGGCACATAGGACAGGCAACAGATTAATATATCTCTCTCACATCAATGTTTCTGTTTTCTCTCTCTCTCTCTCTCTCTCTCTCTCTCTCTCTCTCTCTCTCTCCCTCCCTCCCTCCCTCCCTCCCTCCCTCCCTCCCTCTCTTCCTCTCTAAAAAAAATAAAATAAAAATAGCCCAACAAAATGATTACATTGGCACATTTTGCTTATATGTAATTTACAAATATAATTTAACAATGAGGATAGGGGAGGGTGAAGAGATGGGTAAAAAAACTGATAGTCTCAACAAAGTCAAACAAGGGAAAGCTAAGTACATCCCTGGAAAGAGCATAGGACTAGAATTCAAGGGGACCAGAGTCAGCCTCAACTCAGCCACTTACTAGGCCAATGTTAGGCAAAGCACTCAGGCTCTCCTCGATTCCTTGAGTCAAAAGAGGGATAAGCCCTTGCCAGTTTGGCTCAGTGGACAGACTGAAGGGTCTGTCAGCCCGCAGACTGAAGGTTCCTGGGTTCGATTCCAGCCAAGGGTATGTACCTCAATAGCAGGCTCAATCCCTGGCTCTGGTTGGGGCACGTGCAGGAGGCAACTAATCAATGTGTCTCTCTGACATCGATGTTTCTCTCTCTGTGTTTCTCCCCCTGCCTTCCACTCTCTCTAAAAAAAAATCAATGGAAAAATATCCTCAGGTGAGGATTAACCAAAAAAAAAAGTTAAAAATACCTGCTCTGTATGCTTTAGGCTGCTGAGAAAGAGGGCTGAACACAGAGATTACCAATATCATCTCTCTGAGTCGCTCTGCTGCATGTTCACATAGGATGAGAGCAGACTCTCTTTAATGCCCAAGTGAGAAAGTACCCAGATTTAACCCCCAACTTAGATTCCAGTAGCTTTTACGAGGATAATATTTTCCAAAGCTGAATCCAGTCTCCCATACCAGAGCATTCTTTCACTCTGACAAATGTGCCTTTTCCTGAACTGAGTGCTTTCTCACCCCACAACTTACTTACCAGGACAGTACCCTAGCACAGACCAAACCTGTCACAGATTCATATGCAGCATCTTACCTTTTCCAGGCTCACCCCAGTCCTCTTGACCAAGGCTTGCAGCCGGGCGATAGTTTCATTCTCCTTGAGGAGCTCATAGGAATGCAAAGGGGAGCCTGCAATGTTCCCATTCCTCTTGTCAGAGACAAGCTCAGAGGCCCGGAGCCTCTTCAGCTTGGAGGCACTCTCACTGCAATGAAGGTTCCCTTCAGGGGGAATGCCAAATGCCATGAGAATCTCAGAGACTTCCTGGACAAACTCCAATTTGTTGGGAAACTGAGGCAAGTCCTCCGGCAGCTCAATGAAGTGGTTGTCAATATCCACAAAGCAGAGGTTAGCCTGGCAGTCAAAAAAAGGATGAGGAGTGTAAACAAAGCACTAAGAAATAGTTTTAGGAAGGATAATGAACAATAGGAAAGAGAAAACATCTGAAATGGGCACATATGAAGTACGGTATAAAGAAGATGGGGCTTGCCCTAGCTGGTGTGACTCAGTTGGTTGGAGCATCATCCCGTACACCAAAGTGATGGGTTTGATTCCCAGTCAGAGCACATACCTAAGTTTCAGGTTTGATCCCTGGTGGGGCTGTGTACGGGAGGCAACCAATCAATGTTTGATCAACGTTTCTCTTTCTTTCTCTCTCCCTCTCTCTTTAAAAATCAGTAACACATATCCTCAATAAGGGTCTTTTTTAAAAAAGAAGATGGGGCTCAGGAAGAAAACAGACCTAGGTTCCAATCTTACCCTGCCACTTTCTAGATGTATGATCTTGAGAAAGTTATTTAACCTCTCTGATTCTGCTTCCTCAGCTATAAAATGGAAATAGAGAGATGAAATCAGAGTGGTAAGGATTATTATCCTGAAGTCTCACAAATAATGCTCATAAATGTTTAATTCATGAATTCTTACAATAGTAAAAAGAACACCAGGAGTAAGTCAGAAAGTCTAGGTTTCAGACCTAACTCTGTCACTATCTCTCTACATGACCCTGAGCGGACCATTATCTCTTTCTGAGCCTCTGTCCTGATTTGGAAGATTTAGTGGCTGCTCATGATGCTTTCTGTGCTTCCTTCTGGCTTTAAGATTGCTTCTGGATAGAGAGACTCTCATACATTGCTGGTGAGGTGGGTAATCTAGACTAACAAAGAACAATTTGCAATATCTATCTATCCTTATTTTACAAACAAAACTGACACAGAGAGATAAATTTGTCCAAAGTCACACAGCTGGTAAGTAGTAGAGCTGGGATTTGAACTCCGCTTACCCTGACTTCAGTCATACCCTCAAGCTCTTAACCATCCACTCTTCCCCTTAGTGGTCATATATATTTCTTGTTCAGTTTAACTGAAATATTTTATAGTTCCTGTCCCTGTTGGAATTGTCTTGCAACTGTAAATCAGAAATGCCTATTACTTTGTATTTATCTTATGTCCATGAACCTGTTCTAGCCAAGATAGGTGTCATTTCCTTCATTGAACTGCACTGCTGTTTAAAAATTTCTCTCTTTCATTCATATAAGAGGAATATTACCTCTATCACAGGTTTGTTTTGAGGATTATAAAACAATAAATGTCAAAGACTTAGCACAGTGCCAGGCCCATAGTACATAACAAATGTTAATTAACATTGTTAATGTAGAATATAAAACTTCAATAGATGTATAAATACAGTACTACTAGATAGGAAAATTCCATAATAAAAGATGCTAATGTTGGTGTCATCAGATTTCTTAATTTTGCCACTGAAATGAGTGAATTTACACTTCTGATCCCTAGGAAATTTTAAAATGTGTATGTTTTATGTAATACTTTTCATGTTTTTAACCCGCTTTTCTATTGGATTACTTATCATCATTCTTACTGATTTGTAGTTCTTTATTATCTGCTGATGCTAATACTTTGTAGGTTATATGTGTTACACATATCTTGTCATAGTTATCTTTTCATTTTAAGATGTCTTTTTCTTAATTTATAAAATCAAATTTATTAATATTTTATTTTATGCTTTCTGTATCCTATTTATGAAGTCCCTACCCAGATGTCAGAAAGGTACTTATTAATATTTTCTTCCAGAAGATTTAGAGTTTTGCTTTTGACATTTAACTTCTTAATCCATCTCAAGTTTATTTTGTTATGGTGTGAGGTAAGGATCCTTTTCTACTATTTTCCCCTTTGAACAAGCAATTTTTCCAGCTCTGTTATTAAGCAGTCCCTCCTTTGGCATGGTACCTCTATTATATAACAAAGTGATGGTCCATTAATTTTTTTGTTTATCCCTGTGCCTATTAAGTCTTGCATTCTAAAAGAAAGGCAGGAGGGTAACATAAGTCCAGCTTAATATAACTATTTCACAAACTCCCAATCTGTCAAAACTGTATGTTTTAACATGTCTGTGCATGCATTCATTCAATAAACATTTGCTCAATGCATAAATTACTCTGCCTACCAATCTATAACTAAAAACGAAAACTTTCCTATATCCATGATCCAAAGATTAGGATAAGAATCACTTTAAATTTAGCTTTCTAGAGTATCTCACAAAATAACAACTTTAAGCCCTGCCTAAGTTAAAAGGCCAATAATGTTTAAGATCTAAAAATAGGCTATTTTTGTTTATTCTATTAAGACTTCAAAATTATAAATGCTTTCAGAACAAATAATTTAAAAAGATAGTAAAGACAGAATTAAATTATCTAGGCATAAAGATAACCTACCTGCTTCCTTAGCCCTGTCCATACAGCTAACAGAAGAAAGCACTGTGACCCACCAGAGACACAATGCATGTACCCCATGGGTTCTCCTCTTTTTAGAAGAAAAAAAGCAGTTTGTGCAATAGGAAACACAGAGGTAGCTAAAAATAATTGCATCCGCTCAACAATGCTTGGTTGGCTTTTCTCCCAATGCTGTGAGCCAAATACAGAATGTCTGTAAAGAATTTTATGAACTCCAAATGCTATATCCACACATTGAAGATACACTCCTGATCAGAGGTGGCTAGAGGAGAGGAAGCCACTCAGGCACACCTCACAGATGCAGAGTAAGATAGGTGCCTATGAGTAGATTCCACTAGCCATTTTTTGCAGAGTTGGCTTAAAGGAGATGAAGATAAGAAACCAAAGTAAAAAAAAGGAGGCCATTCACTTGCTAGGCTCATAGAATAGCCTCATGCTATTTCCTGCCAGCACAGGGAGGGCTCTGACAAACAAAAGTGTGCCTCAAACTCCTCATGCACCCCTTTCCTCAGCTGAGACGAGGAGTACTGCAAAACAGACTGGCAGACAAAAGTATTCTGTAAGAGGCACTAAATCCAAGTGATCGGTTTTCCTCAGTTAACCTCCTGCCTTCTTGGGAAAGGCCATGTGAAGACTTAACTGCTCTGAGGTAGTGACCACACGGATACCCCAAATCCCAAAATCTCTCCCAAATCTCTTCCTGCAAGAGATCACAATGCCCTTTCCCAGCCCTAAGTTCCTAACACCAAATCACAGCCAGCCTGACCTCCTAGTCCAGTGATGGCGAACCTATGACACGCGTGTCAGAGGTGACAGGTGAACTCATTTTTTTGGTTGATTTTTCTTTGTTAAATGGCATTTAAATATATAAAATAAATATCAAAAATATAAATCTTTGTTTTACTTTGGTTGCAAATATCAAAAAATTTCTATATGTGACACGGCACCAGAGTTAAGTTAGGGTTTTTCAAAATGCTGACACGCCGAGCTCAAAAGGTTCGCCATCACTGTCCTAGTCTCTCTCCATGTTATTCACTGAAGGGAAGCCCAATCCACAAATTACTGGGTAAAGACACTGAAGGAGTATCCTGAGAAAGACGGGGGAAAGTAGGAGAGAAAGAAGGGCACAAGATAGAAAGAAGTAGCACCCCCTTCTTTACTCATATCTTCTGCTTGCTTCTCCTCACATAGCTGTGGATGAATTGCCTCCTTCCTGAACTCAGACAATGAAACCCAGAAGGGAAGGACAGGACAAAGGATGCCTCACAAAGGAGCCCAGCACTCTCACTTGCTCAGGGCCAGCTGAGATCATGTGTTGGTGTAAAAAGAAACAAAGGGCTTTTCAGACTTTTGATGCTCAAAGATGGAGCAGCAACTGATGAATTCTGACATAGAGGAGGGTCAGGGAATGTACACTCTACACTCTGGATCAGGGGTGGGGAACCATTTTTCTGCCAAGGGCCATTTGGATATTTATAACATCATTCACAGGCCAAAATTATCAACTTAAAAATTAGCCTATTATATTTTGTCAAACATTTAAATAACTCACCCTTAATGCCTTGGCAGGGCCAGACCAAATGATTTCTCGGGCCTTATTTGGCCTGAGGGCTAGACATTCCCCACCCTTGTGATAAAGTCCCTTTTACAGATCAAGCTTGCCTTATCCCAGTACCCTGATAATGCCTTTTTGCACAAGTCCAGGTGAATTTCCCTAGTACTGCCTCAAAGCTTCCTTCTAGCAGCATAAATATACCACAGGATGCCCACCAAAATGTTGAAAGTAGTTATCTCTGGGTGGTAAAATTAGAAGTAATTTTTACTTTATTCTTTATGCTTTTGTGCACTGTTAGAATTTTTTACTATATACTAGAGGCCCGGTGCACGAACTCGTGCAGCAGTGGGGTCCCTCAGCCTGGCTTGTGGGATAGGGCCAAAACCAGCTCTCCGACATCCCCTGAGGGGTTCCGGATTGCAAGAAGGCGCAGGCCAGGCCGAGGGACCCCACTGGTGCACGATGGGAGGTTGGCCAGATGGGGAGGGGCTGCGGGAGGGATCCAGGGCATGTCCAGCCCATCTCGCTCAGTCCCGATAGGCCGGACCCCAGCAGCAAGCTAACCTACCAGTTGGAGCGTCTGCCCCCTGGTGGTCAGTGCATGTCATAGCAAGCAGTTGAGTGGCCTTAGCATATCATTAGTATATTACGCTTTGATTGGTTGAACAGCTGACTGGACAACTACACACTTAGCATATTAGGCTTTTATTATATTGGATATACCACTTATGAGACATCCCAAAGTTGTCTTTCAGAAATATTATCATTCTCCATTCACTATGTGTACCCATCGGTAATACACAGATATCCCAGAGGTCATCTGCTGAAAATCAATGTAGAAAATATCCAGTTATGAAACTGCCCCCTGGGTGAAGTGGGACTCTGAAACCCTATAATTGCTTATTAAGTACAGACATGTATTCTATAGTCCCAGTGTCACCACTTCTTCCCAAATAGACCACAGGGAGAATCAAAGGATGCAGCAATGATGGGGAAAACTGCAAAAGTTAAAGCCCCAATACCCAGAACAGTGTGAACTCTCAGGTTTCTCAAACAATCCTGCTAAGAAAACTGCTAATGTCCTCGCAATATCTTCATACAAACATATATATGAAGCACACAAAAAATGATGCTGAGCCTTAGCCAGTTTGGCTTAGTGCATAGAAAGTCAGCCCATGGACTAAAGGGTCCCAGGTTCTATTCCAGTCAAGAGCACATACCTTGGTTGGAAGCTAGATCCCCAGCCCGGTGGTCAGAGTGCGTGCAGGAGGCAACCAGGCAATGTGTCTCTCTCACATCAATGCTTCTCTCTGTCTCTCCCCCACCCTTCCACTCTTTCTAAAAATCAATGGAAAAATACCCTTGGATAAGGATTAACAAAAAATAAAATAAAATAAATAAATAAAATGTTCCATTAAAAACAAAAAATTATGCTGAGAGATCCTAGAGGGAACAGAACTTGCCCTAAGTATACAGCAAGCTAATGCCAAAGATTAAAATAAAACTGACAAATCTGGCTTGTTGCCTAGTGACCTATTTATTGGATTATGCATGTAGCATGCCTTTTTGGCTTTAGTTTCAACCATTTTTGTTATTTTTATTTTGACTTTACAAAATTATAATTCGGTTTACTAGGAAGAAATGTCAATATTAAATATGCATTTGTTTAGAATAAACAAAAAAAAATCCCTGTTCTCCAATCTTTGGTATCTACTCTTTATGTATCACAGTGTCCCTAAAAAAATGTATACACATTTTAACAGCTGAGAGCTCAATTTTGAAAATGAAATGTATTTTAATAAACACTGCCATTATAATTATTCAAAGTGTGTATATACATTTTTTGGAACACCCTATATTTATCAGTAGAGTAGACAAATACATATAAAAACTCAATACTCCCAATAGTTTTCCCCATCATTTAGATATTTTCTTCCTTTATTAATTAATCTTGTCCCATCCAAAATAGCACAAAGCTCTACAGAATCAAAGGAGCAAAAAAGGCAGAAATTTAAAAAGCTACAAGAAGACATTTTAATTCTAAAACCAAAGGAGAGGAAAAAAGAGTACAGAGATGCATTTGACTATAATTTAAATATCATAAATGTGATCTAATTATCAGCGATTTCATCAAGCCTGCTGTCCAGATAGGCCTAATAACCTGAATGCTGCTCAGATACAGGAGGTCCCCTTACTCATATTCTTCAGTTACACCCCAAAAATTTCCTCCCCAAAAAAATTCTGATGGAGGAGAGAAAGTCATGTTCCAAAGTCTTCTTCCCAGACCTTTCTAATGTCTAAGAAAATCAGAGTAAGGCCCGGCTGGTGTGGCTCATCGGTTGAGTGTCGACTCAGGAAATAAGAGGTCACCCTTTAGATTCCCATTCAGGGCACATGTTCGGGTTGATCCCCAGTAGTGGGGAAGAGGCAGCCAATCGATGTTGATGTTTTTCTCTCATTGATGTTTCTATCTCTCTATCCCTCTCCCTACCTCTCTCTTTAAAAATCAATAAAAGCATAGGTTAAAAAAAGAAAGTCACAGTTGGAAAGCCGTCTTCCCAGCTAGTTTCATACCAGTCACAAAATGACCTAAAAAGGTAAGCCAGTTCTATTGGTAATTGTAGGAAAATAAAAAGTAAAACAATCTTATTTAAAAGCATGCTTTAAATCTATCTAAAATGAACTAGGAAATAAACATGTAAATACAAATTTTTAATCAATTCTTTTGGTATTTAAAATAGGGAAGAAGAGCAGGCCACTCTCACAGCAAAAGAAGCATTCTCTCAAGGCCTTCCTATACAGAACAAGGAAAGTTTATGAAGCTGACTCTGTACCACAAGAATCACAATGATCAAGTCAACTTTTATAGATCAACTGTGGCCTGTAAAAGAAAACCACTGATTTATTAATATACAGCTGATTACTAGAGTATATATAAAACTAGAGGCCCGGTGCACAAAAATTTGTGCACTCGGGGGAAGGGGGTCCCTCAGCCCGGCCTGTGCCCTCTCGCAGTCTGGGACCCCTCAGGGGATGTCCACCTGCTGGCTTAGGCCCGCTCCCCGGGGGATCGGGCCTAAAATGGAAGTCAGACATCCCTCTGGCAGCCCAGGAGCCCTCGGGGGATGTCCACTTGCCAGCGAGGAGCAGGCCTAAGCTGCAGTCGGAGATCCTTAGCGCTGCTGAGGAGGCGGGAAAGGCTCCCGCCACCACTGCTGTGCTGGCAGCCGTCAGCCTGGCTTGTGGCTGAGCAGAGCTCCAGTGTCTGCCCCCTGGTGGTCAGTGTCATAGTGACCAGTCATTCCCAGTCATTCTGATGTTAGGGTCAATTTGCATATTACCCTTTTATTATATAGGATGGAGGCCTGGTGCACAGGTGGGGGCCGGCTGGGGTGCCTGGCCAGCCTGGGTGAGGGGCTGAGGGCCGTTTTCAGGCTGGCCATAACCCCTTCAGGGTGGGGGTCCCCACTGGGGTGCCTGGCCAGCCTGGGTGAGGGGCTGATGGCTGTTTGCAGGCTGGTCAAGCCCCCCAGTGGGGACCCTCACCCCATGGGGGTGTGGCCAGCCTGGGTGAGGGGCTGAGGGCTTTTTTGATGCTGACCACACCCCTTCAGGGTGGGGGTCCCCACTAGGGTGCCTGGCCAGCCTGGGTAAGGGGCTAAAGGCCGTGTTCAGGCTGGCCACACCCCCTTCAGGGTGGGGGTCCCCACTGAGGTGCCTGGCCAGCCTGGGTGAGGGGCTGAAGGCCATTTTCAGGCTGGCCACAGCCCCTTCAGGGTGGGGGGGTCCTGCTGGGGTGCCTGGCCACCTGGGTGAGGGGCTGATGGCCATTTTCAGGCTGGCCACGCCCCCCAGTGATCCAAGCTCCCAACCTCTCCTTTTTTTCTTTCTATTTTTTTCCCCTGGGATTTATTTATCTTCTATAATTGAAACTTTGTAGCCTTAAGCGGAGCACAGGTCTCCTGGAAGCCTGGGTTGCCCCTGGTAACCCAGGCTCCCAGCCCCTCCTTGAGTCGGCTAGAAGCAGGTATCTGGGATTTATTTATCTTCTATAATTGAAACTTTGTAGCCTTGAACAGAGCCCAGTGCCTGGGGGCAACCCAAGCCTCCTGCTCACTTCAGCTCCATGGCCGCCGCCATCTTTGTGACGGAGTGACAGAGTGATGGTTAATTTGCATATTGCTCTTTTATTAGATGGGATTCTATTTTGTGGATTTCCTTAAAATAAAAGAGGCAGAAGGTATAGAAATAAAAAATAATATAAAATATAACGTATAACTATTGAAGCTCTGGGCACTGAGAACATACAAATTCCTTATGCTACTCTTTTGTATATGTTTAAAGTTTTACATAATAAAAAGAGTTTCTAATAAATACCTTTAAAAGTGTGTGAAGTACTGTGTTTGAAAACCTGTATGAAAAAGGCAATTCACAACTGTATAAACACAGAGATATGTCATGTGATAAAAATGACCATTGTTTCTGGAATGATATAAACAGAGCTAAATGTTCATTGTTTTTTACTTTTTTCCTGGAAAGTTATTAATGTTCCCCAAAATAAAAGAAAAACTTGGTGACACCACAGTGGGCATATTCCAAAAGCCCTTCTCTCCCAATCCTAGATTGGGCCAAGGGCATCAGCACTCAAGTTCCACATTTCTCTCACCTCTTGAGGCAGCTCCAGCTTTGACCGGTCATCCAGGCCATTGGAATGCAAGCCCATCAGGTATGGAACAGGAGCATCTAAGAAATGTAGGAGAGAAGCCGGGAGAATAGGGACATAGACATGCTGCCACTGGAAAGGAAACATGAGAGCTGTAATTGTCTCCGCCACAGTCATCAGTCTCTGGTAATCTAGGCCAAAAAAAACACACACATAAACCAAACAGTCAAAAATGAGGCACTTGCTTCTCAAATAGTAAGTTAAAATTACAATTTCACATTTAGAAAGGATCAGAGTAAACTTCAGCAAGGGTATGCGAGTGAATCCCTAGTGGGTGTCAGAGACCTCAACAGATCACAAGTTGAAATATACCCTCCTACATACAGGTCCCTGCTTATAATAAAATTTAATGTGAAAATATTATAGAAATCATAAATAGCACCTCGTTAAACCGAATGTTAAGTAGATTCTCTTAAGTGGAAGTGAAATGAAAAGAACAGTAGTCTGGGTCTCCGTTCGTTCAGCATGGAAGCCCAAACAGGCCTTTTAGCACTCAGATATGTCTGCATTCTATAAGATGCTACAACTTTTCCTGAATGAGAACAGCACAAAGGGGTTATTTTAACACTTCCCTAGAACTTGAAAGACCCACAAGACTTGACTTTAATGACTCAAAATTCTTGTTTTAGGTCAAAGACAGAGTGGAGGGGAAGGCTTGTGCTCAAAGTTTAGCTCTTCTTCAGAATGCAATTTCTAGAACTGTTTTATTATTTTTAAATGAGTAATAAATACATTGGCAAAGCCAATAAAATGGACCAGTTAAAATTGAAACTAAAAAATTACTATTCATAAATGGTATGTCTCTTTTTCAGGCAAAAAGGGGCAACGCAGGAACATACATTTTAAAATCATCCTTCGGGAATGGCTGGCTTCAAATGAGCTTTCATAAAGGTTAGTGGTTTCATGTACTAAAAACCCACCCCATCATTTAAAATCACAGCTTGGTTCATAAAGAAGTTATAAGTAACAAGAAGCTTTCCAGAAAATGAGGAAGACTGAGTAGGAACAGAAACTGGTATGTATCAACTAGGTAGAAGTTTAACAAAGAATCCTATATCTGCTTACTAATGCTTTGAAAGTTATCACCCTGCTCATGGCTAAGGAAAGAAGAACAAGACCTGGAAATCATTTTGTTATTTTTTTAACTAGTAATGCAAATATAGCAATTATTGACTAAAACAGGGGTCCTCAAACTACGGCCCGCGGGCCACATGCGGCCCACCGAAAACATTTATCCGGCCCGCCGGGTGTTTTTTGCCGCCGCTGCCTGTCCTGCTTAGCAGCCGACTCATCCCGGGCCCACAGTGCGCATGTGTGGAATGTCTGAGGGACAGTGAACTGGCCCCCTGTTTAAAAAGTTTGAGGACCGCCCTGACCAGTTTGGCTCAGTGGATAGAGCGTCGGCCTGCAGACTCAAGGGTCCCAGGTTCGATTCCGGTCAAGGGCATGTACCTCGGTTGCGGGCACATCCCCAGTGGGGGATGTGCAGGAGGCAGCTGATCGATGTTTCTCTCTCATCGATGTTTCTAACTCTCTATCCCTCTCCCTTCCTCTCTGTAAAAAAATCAATAAAATATATTTAATAAAAAAAAAAGTTTGAGGACCTCTGGACTAAAACTTCATCGTTTATAACATTTTGTTGCTGTTGTTAATCCTCACCCAAGGATATATATTTTTTCCATTAAGAGAGAGAGGAAGGGAGGAAGGGGGAGAGAAAGAAACATCAATGTGAGAAAGACACATTGATTGGTTGCCTCCTGCACGCACCCCAATCAGGCTAGGGATCAAACCCACGACCCTTCAGTTCACAGGCCAGCGCTCTAACCACTGAACTACCGGCCAAGGCCATAGTCTCTAACATTTTTATTACACTACAGAAAAGTGCATCAAGGAAGATGATCTGACTGGGTGGTGAGTGCACAATGCAATATGCAGATTATGTATCATAGTAATGTACACTTGAAATCTATCTGACCCTATTAGCCAATGTCACCCCAATAAATTTAATTTTAAAATTAAATTAACACATGTGTGTACTCAATGTTTACATAAAAATAGTGCATTATTTAAAAATATTTGGGAGGAGGGCATTAAAATAATTAAAAGATCATGGGGGTAGAACTCTAGATCAAAAAAGAGGAAAACTTACAACTTTCTCTGCATTGTTTGTCCACATATTATTTGTTTTTTAAAACTATAATTTTCATTAGGAATACACAAAAAATTTGATCTGTGGCAATCACAGGAGAGAAAGAGGGAAGATTTCTTTTTACTACCTTTAGAATTGTTTTAAGTATATGCCTTGAGCATACATTATTTTTGCAATAAAAAACTAATGTCAACGATTTGTTTGTACTAGTTGAACCTATAACTGGATTATATAATTTAGCCAAATAGTATGCAAACAAGTGGTGAAATACAAGGGCAAAAGAAAGAACAGTTCCTGTGAAAACAAAAATCAATGCTTTAAAAAGATTCAGTAATACAAAGTCGCTAAAGTACTATAGTGAATTAGGAATATCTTGAGGCAATAAAGTGCAAACTAGGGAAAACTGCAACAATCTACAGGTAGCCTCCATTCTGGTTCTTTTGCAATGTTCTTAAGTTCTAGCTCCATTTTTTAAAAACGGTATCTGCTAGGGGTGGGAGTGACAGGGAGAGGTCAATGGGGGAGGGGGGAGGAGACATATGTAATACTTTAAACAATAAAGAGTTTAAATTTTTAAAAAAGATATCTGGCACCCTGGCGGCTGTTGTTCAGTGGTTAGAGCAGTGGTTCGAGCAGTGGTTCGAGCAGTGGTTCTCAACCTTCTGGCCCTTTAAGTACAGTTCCTCATGTTGTGACCCAACCATAAAATTATTTTCGTTGCTGCTTCGTAACTGTAATGTTGCTACTGTTACGAATCGTAATGTAAATATCTGGTATGCAGGATGGTCTTAGGTGACCCCTGTGAAAGGGTCGTTCGACCGCCAAAGGGGTCGCGACCCACAGGTTGAGAACCGCTGGGTTAGAGCATCATCCCACGTACCAAAGGGTCATGGCTTCATGGCTTCCTCGTCAAGGGCACATACCTGGGTTGCAGGTTTGATCCCTGGCCCTAGTGAGGGCTAGAGCAGGAGGCAACCAATCAATGTCTCTCTCTCACATCCATGTTTCTCTTTCTCCCTGCCTCTCTCTTTCTCTCTCTCTCCTGCCCTCCCTCCCTTCCACTCTTAAAAATCAATGGGAAAAATATTCTCGGGTGAGGATTAACAACAAAAAGAACTGGTATCCCTCTCATGGTCCATTGGTTTGCCATCTACCACATACCTGTAAAAGATCTGAGTTTTGCTCAAATTGTAACAACCCTAGACCTTTACAGTCAGCCCCACTGTATCCGATATGAAAAGGGAGGCCCTATGCAAGAAGAGAGCTCTAGTAAGCACTGACTTACGCTGTGAGTAGAGCAGAATCTGAAACTCCAGAAGAGCACAAGTAAAAAGCTGAAACACATTCTCCACCCCAAGCAGTTCAAAGACCTCTTTGACAGGAAAGTCGAATAGGGGAAGCTCATTGGTACTTGGTCTCTGGCAGATTATTGGCCCATAGACCCCAGAAAACTTCAAGGACCGGCCGGGAGGTGGGAGTGGCACCTCGTAGAGTACGTTGTATATGTAGCTCTCAAGGGGCAGTGGAGGGGGCTGAGGTGAAGTGACTGCCTGGTGAAGTTGTTCCAGAACACTCCGACATGCTTTCATGAAGGACATGGGCGTGATGAGGCAGATGCACTTAGAGACATACAACGTGTCCCGGCTAATGTCATAGGAGTTGAAGCGCTGCAGCTTGGTCCCAGGAGTGCCTTCACCATCCTCCATGTCACTGTGGTCTCGGCCATCAGCAGGATGAGCATGTATGACATCATACTCAGCATTATGCATGTGGTAGAGCGTCTGCATTGCACTGCAGATCTGCTTGCTAGTCACCTCCTCATAAAATGTGAGGGCAAACCCAAATGTCCGAGAGCCATCCTCCCTTGTGATAATAAAGGCATGGAACTGTGGCTCTCTGGGATCAGCCTGGGTCTTGAATGCTAGCCCTTTGGGCATGCATAGCTGCAAAGACAAGGGAACAAGTGGTGAGAATACTCACTGCTGACCCTCTTTTCAGAACACCCACCACTATTTCTTTACTTATAGTGCACCCACTTCCTGGGTGTTTGGGATATCAAGATCACACAGCTAAAAACCTGTCCTAAAGGCCTCCCATTCTAAGTAAGATATACAAGTAAATAAAATGATATTGCAGTTATCAGGGCTATAGAGAAGTATATGCAAAGTGCTAGGGGAAGAAAGAACAGACAACTCAGTCTAGGAACATCAGAAAAGGCTTCACAGATGAGGTTATGTTACAATTCATCAGGTAGACAAGGAAAAGAAGGGTATTTGAGGGACAGGAAAAATGCACAAAGGAAAGGAGGAAAAAGAAAGCAGCATGATAGCACATATTGAGAGATGATGCTAGAAATATATCTAAAAATCAGATTGATATAACTTTGTATCTAAAAATAAAATAAACTTTTAGACTCTATCAGCTCACAGAATTTTGTCATCAATAAAACCTTCTTTCTATTCTTAGAAAAAAGGGTGCTCATTTCATACAAAGCAAGGAGATGACATAATCAGGATAAAGATGTACTTTTTTCACTTTAACTCAGATGGATTATATAAAGAAACTTGGAAAGCTAATCAAATTGACTTGAATCAATCAGTCCCCATTTACATTTTACACAATCCTGGCTACACAAACGAACTACCAGCAGCCTGGATTAACAAATACAACGATCTACATTATGTTATATCCATTAGCCTTGACCTTGACTTCCCAAAGCCTAGGTGTTTTTAGAATATAACATGAAATAAGCACTGGACTAGGCATTTAAAAACTTGAGGCTCTCCAAGACTGTTAAAAGTAACAGTGTTTTTATACATGTCCTACCTAAAATGATGATGAAACAAAAATAGTCATTTCTGTCATATAACTCAGACATGTATAACACAGATTGAGATTACTTTTAAACCTAACTCTTATGTAATCCCAATGCTATAAGCAACCAACAGTTCAGTACCACACAAAAAGAGTTTGCTGACCCATTACTATATATTTGACACAATAGAAACACACTGTGACTTTTAGTATTTTGATATATGTATTCTGAATATCTGATATACTGATCAAAATGCAGAATCATGAGCAATATACATACAACCCCTTTTTTAAAATTTGCTCTTGTAAATTCTCATATTTGTGGTTAACAAATACTAACCATTCCCACTGCATCTTGGTCAAAGGGATTCCATTCTACATTCTCAGGATATCGTGCCAGGACCTTAGATTTAAATGTTCGTCTTAATGGTGTCTGCTCAAAATTTTCACCTACAAGATAAAGAAAGAAGTAAATCATCTCCACAAAGTCCCTTGCAATCTCAGGGTTATGAATGTCTGAGCTTGGTAGTCCAGCAATGTACAGAAATAAAGGCAAAGCAAGTACAGAAATGCCAGCCATCTAAGAATAGGAAAGGTATTAAAGTTATTAGGTAAGTAAAGATGCTGAAAGTTTAGCATGGTTAATATTGGACACCACTAGCTATCATTCCTTTTCATTAAAATGAAAATAATTACTACAAACCCTACAGTTAATTTTCTTGGGAGAGAGGGGAGAAAGCACAAGGAAAGATAAAGAATTATATCCATCTCTTTTTTTCTGAATGCCATATTTAGTTTGCTTAAAGTTAACTAATAACAGCATTGAAGCATAAATGTTTTTAAGGTCAGAATGAAATATGCATTTCTATGCTCTCTTTAAAAATACAAAGGAACTAAAAGATTCAAGAACAGCAAGAAAGCAGATTTTAATAAAAATCTAACAAGCTATTTTATCAATTCAAAATCATTCGAAATTTCTGAAATTCTCCTTTGTTTCCCCCTTCTTCCTCCTAAAAACATTACAGCATATTGAAAACAGAGCATTACAGTGAAAAGAGGAAGAACCAAAGAACCCACCACCTAGAGGGATACAAATGTGAAAAATCTACTAGTCAAATAGGCACAAGAAAGTTAGAAGGTCAAAGGGCACAAAATGCCACCAGAGAGACATATTTAGAGGCACCAGAAAGCTTTGGGTAGTCTCAATTTTGTTTTGTTTTTACCTTCAGTTGTACTGGAAATGAAAGGGCTGGCACCGTCCCTGGCTTTAGAAGCCTGTATGTACTGGCATAATGCTATATGACAAATGAAATAACAGAGTATTACAATAAAGTAGTGTGATTCAAACTTTTTGACCATGACTCCAGTATGAAATAAATTTTTCATCATGAAGCAATAAACACACACATGTGTATATCTATATTTACCTAAAACAAAAATTTCACAAAATACTTACCCTCTCATAATTTCTGCTCTATATCATTAAAACTAAATATGCTAATTGCTGACCTACTAATGGTTACAATTCAATTTGAAAAACATTACAATATAGTATAATGGGATGAAGGGCTCAACCAGTATCAAAGTACTACAAAGTCACTAGTGATTTATCTAAAAGTATGCTACCCAAAATATTGCTTTTCCTTAGGGGTTATGGAGTAGGGAACAAATTAAATGTGCCTAAATATGTCAAACAAATAAATTTATTAGGAGTCATAGAAAAATATATAGGAAATATGATCAAGGACAATTCAATTGAATTCTATATCTGTTTATTGAGCAATTGAATTCTATATCTATTTATTTATGCTATTCAAGGGCCTTAAGTACTGTGGGGGTTAAAAATAATCCAGATGAGCAACTATTCTTAAGGACCTTACTATCAAATATATATAGGGAAAATAACATATACAAATAACCATTCACAGGGAGGTTCTTATCAGGAAGGCTCCAAATCTTCAGTTTATTTGGTCTAACTATTCAGACAAACTTGTAGGATCCAGTTCACATGCCCTAGTTGATATAATAAATTGTGTTCCAACTATAGTTTTTATAAGTTGGTTTGAAACCCAAAGGGGCTGGTGATTACTAAGAAAGATGCATTCTTCACCAATACTGAATTGGGGTGACCTAAAGTCAGACAGTCCTTCACTCTAAATCATCCCAGAGACATTGAAAAAAAAATTTTTTTTAAGTATAGTTTGGCCCTGGCCAGTATGGCTCAGTTGGTTGAGTGTCATCCCATGCACCAAAGGGGTTTCAGGTTCAATACCCAGTCAAGGTGTGTGTGAGAGGCAACCGATCGATGTTTCTCCTCTTTCCTCTTCTCTTCTCTTTTCTTGTCTCTCTTTCTCTCCCTCCCTCTCCCTTTTTCTCTCTAAAAAACATTTTTTAAAGAATATTTTGTAATAATTCTAAGGCACCTGTTTCAGAAACTAATAATGTTACTGCTTTTAAAACAAAACCTTCACTTCCATTCTCTCAGGTTTTGTCCATCATCATTGTAAGCCCACTTATTCATAATTTTCAACTTCTGACAATTTTCAACTTTCTTTCTGTTAGTAAAGCAAGTACCACAATTTCAATTCCTCCCATTTCCTGATCCCTTCTTCCAAACTGACTTTTCTGAAACTCTTTTCCAATAAATTGCATCTCTTAAATGACATTTGGTAATCGTCACTAAGAACACTGGCAATATCAGCAGACAGCTGGTACCAGCAGTAGCAATAAAGCCCTACAACACTGCAGAGCTGGTCTCGGAGCTTTCAGTGACACCTGCAAAGAGCCCACCCATTCCAATCTGCACTTATAGTACAAAGTAATTAAACAGCAAGCAGACGACATAATGATCTTGTCTACAGTCTGAGATTCTCAGAATGTATTTTTAAACTGTATTCAGTTCTGAGAGAAGATAAGAATTTCTTCCTGCTAAGCTTCTTCACTTTTAATTGTCAGTTTGCTCATTTCTTCCTTATTAGACTAGAAAATCCCCTCATCAAAAACCACAAAATGTATGAACCTACAGTAAGTCCTCACTTAATGTCATCAATAGGTTCTTGGAAACTGCAACTTTAAGCAAAAAGACGTATAATGAAACTAATTTTACAATAGGACAATTGATATAAACTAGAATTAAGCTCCTTTTGCATATTTCTGGTCACAAAAACATCACTAAACTTCTAAATAAAGACCCAAGACACTTCTAATATTAAACACTGAAATGTGAAATATATATATATATATGTGTATGTGTGTGTGAATATATATGTATATATGTGTGTATATATGAAAGATTAATACAAACAAGTAAGATCATTATTTCCCAACCCACTTATTCCCGTCCAGGGTTGCAGGTGGCCATCTGACAGAGCAAAGCAGTACCCAACCCTGAACAGGACGCCATTCCATTGCAGGGAGCATTAACACCCATACTCACTCAGACTGAGACAATGTAGACAAGCCAATTCACCTGACATGAACATCTTTGGAATGTGGGAGGAAACCACAGTATCCAGAGAAAACTCATGCAGATATGGGGAGAATGTGCCAACTCCACACAGACAGTAGCCCCAGCCCAAAATCAATTATTTTTTCATCAATGTTATAATGAAATGACATTGAATGAAACTACGTTATTTGAGGACATGCTGTATATAGGAATCAGGGCAGTTACCACTGCCCTATTTGAAAGCCTTTAGAAAAAGATATTTTCCTAAGATGGCAATGAAGTGCCTCCTAAGAAATAATGAGCATTGAAATGATGAAGGGGATTACTTAAGGAGATAATTAAAAAAAAAAAGATGAAGCAGAGGTAAACATGATGAGCTGAACTGTTGCATAGACAAAGAAGAAGGGGAAGCTATGAATTACAGGGAGAAACGGTCTTTAGATCCTCTGTCCTCACCACCACCTCTCCACCTCCTGCTGCTTCTTCAAACAAGCTGAATAAAGAAGTCTTAAAGATAAAGAGTCCGGTTCTGAGTAGAGGCACCACAGAGAGTGCCAACCTTAAAGAAAAATCCTTCTGTGTATTAGATTGGGCCTATCAACAGGAGCATAGCATTTTCACTGCGAGGGAAAAGGGAGGTGTACTAAGAAGAGTTATGAGGCCCCTGAGAACAAATCATGTTTATCATAGCCACCCTATAAAGAGTGTGAGAAAAGTAATAGACAAAAGAGATTCACAAAACTAAGATTTTTTTTTTATTAAAAAAACAATTGGCCCTGGCCGGTTTGGCTCAGTGGATAGAGTGTCGGCCTGCGGACTCAAGGGTCCCAGGTTCGATTCTGGTCAGGGGCATGTACCTTGATTGCGGGCACATACCCAGTAGGGAGTGTGCAGGAGGCAGCTGATTGATGTTTCTCTCTCATCGATGTTTCTAACTCTCTATCCCTCTCCCTTCCTCTCTGTAAAAAAAAATCAATAAAATATATATTTTTTTTAAATTGAATTTTTCATCATTTTACTGAGGGCTGAGTTTTGAGAATAAGCACTAGAGCAGTGGTTCTCAACCTTGGCTGCACATTAGAATCACCTGGGAATCTTTTTTAAATCCTGATTTCTGGGCCTCATCCTCCGGAAATTCTGTTTCTTTGTTACTAATGTTGTGGCCCCACCCCATAACAAAGAAACAGAATTTCGGGAGGATGAGGCCCAGAAATCAGGATTTTAAACAGATTCCCAGGTGATTCTAAAGTGCAGCCAAGGTTGAGAACCACTGCACTAGAGACTTAATGCCTCAAGAACACCAACCTTAGCCCTAACTCCTGAAACCTGTATGCATATCACAAGCTAATCCTCAATTATTTAGAGCTTTGAAAAAGTAAACAAGCCAGGTTGGTGTAGCTCAGTGGATTGAGTCATCTCATGGACCAAGAGGTCCCAGATTCGATTCCTGGGGTGTAGGCTCAATCCCCAGTAGGGGGCGTGCTGGAGGCAGTCGATTGATGTGTTTCTCGTTGATGTTTCTATCTCTCCCTCTCCCTTCCTATCTAAAAATGAATAAAAACATATTTTGAAAAAAGTTAAACAATATTAGGAATATGACATCACAACCACAACTGTCCTATTGTCCTAGAAATAATAAGCTATTATTTGCCCAACACATACAGAGTATACAAATATTGGTAGGTCTGGATATCGAAACTAAGGCCCATTTCTAGCAGCTAGATTAAAATTAGTCAAATAGGTGTCTATCTTTGTGAATCTGCCACCAGGAAAGTACAGTTCAGATAAATCATTGCAGATTTTTTTTTAAGCTTGCATGCCTTGCAAAGACTTTCTAATAGGTTCTTTGTTTACTTGTTCTGCTTTGACCAAGCCAGAAACAAACTGACATTTGTATTGCTATTTGCCTGTTGGTACTTGTTTGATTTGAATAACCCTAAATGAGAGATGCTTATGCTGAAAAGCTTCAAAGCCTAAAGTCTCTGAAGATTTATAAAAATTTGTATAAATATAAATTTTGTTTAAATATAAATACGTTTATATTTAATATGTGCATTTTTCTGGGGAGAGAACACAATTTTCATCAGTCTCAAAGAGTCCCATGACCCAGAAAGGTTAGAAACCACAGCTCCAAGTGTTTCTTCTAATTTGGGCAGGAAACATTTTGATCACTTACAGATTAACCTAAATGGGCAGGTTTTCATAGAATCTAAAATAGAACGTATGTACTACTAAATAACTACTTTCTAGGTAAACAAAAAATAATTGACTTTGTCAATAGAATAATTTTTATCTATGATGAAGGTTTTGCTTCCAGTTATGGCAAAGTAGCTCCTATGAGACCAACTCTCTTGCACATATATATGAACTCTGGACAAAATATTTTTTTAAAAAACAACTATCCAAAGGTACTGAAGAAGAAAAAGCATGCAGATTCTGAAGTAGGAAGGAGGGTCAACACTTGGAAGAAGGTAACAACACTGGTTTCCCTTATTATGGCTTTTGGCCAAGGAAGTCTCAGTCTGTACCATGAGAGGTGGTAAAATTCAGACAAAAGCCCACAGTCCTACTAGCTTGAAGAACCTGAATACAGACTATAAAGCAACCACTGCAGCTGGCAAGTGAGGGTGGGAAATTCCAGAGAAAGTCAGAAAGGAGATGCCCCAACCCATGTATAAACTCTGTCCAAGTCTCTGGATGATCCTGGAACCATGCATGCATGGAGCAGACCCCAAGCAACCAAGTTAGGACTATAAAAACTAATAGAGATTTAAGCTGCTGCTTACTACAGGGGAATAGAGTTTATCAAAACAACCAAAATTCAATGCTCTTTGTTGGAAGTTAACAGAATCCAGAGTCTCTACAACATAGGTATCTCAATATCAAAAACACAGTCCAAAACTGCTCAGCATATAAAGAAACAGGAAAACATTAATCTCTTGAAGAGTCAATCAACAGAAACCAACCCTGCATTGACCCAAATATTGGAATTACCACACAGGATTTCAAAAGAGCTAGATCATAATAATGAAAAAATAGATCTCAACAGAGAAACAGACAGTAACTCAGTGGATGGGCTTAACAGCAGATTAAAGATGCAGAAGAGTTAGTGAACTTAAACATAAATTCACAAAAATTATCCAATCTGAAAAACAGAGAGGAAAAAAAACTGGGGGGGGGGGGAATCCCAGCAGAGAGGACCCGAGAAATCTGTGGGTTAACAAGTTTAACATACATATAATTGGAGCCCCAGAAGGAAAGGAGAGCAAATGAGATAGAAAACAATATTTTTAGAAGTAGTGAAAAAAAAAAAACCACAAAATTTTCCCAAATTTGGTAAAAGATATTGTGAAATAATTGAAATAGACAGGTATCTGCCCCAGTTCCTAGCACAGAGTTCCTGAAACCCTTGTGATTTCCTAAGTGATAAAAACACTAACAGCATCTCTTATTCTAATATTAGTCTTTGACCTCGTCCCTGACATAAGGCTCCTAAAACCCGTGTAAATTCCTAAGTGATAAGAGCATTAGGAGCATCTTTTATTCTATTGAGGTGACTCTGTGTAAAGCCCCTAGATGGCTCCTGGTTGGGGGCTAGTCCAAACGCTGATTAGAAGCTTGGAATGTTCAGTCCCACCCCTCATCCTCCATAGAGAGAAGAGAGAATAGAAAAGGAGTTAATAATTGATTATGCTTACATGAAGGTTCCATAAAATCCCAACAGTGTGAAGTTCAGAGAGCTTCCAGGTAGGCAAACACATCCATACATACCCAAACTCCACAGGGACAGAAGCTCCTGCACTCAGGACCTTCCAGACCTCATCCTATGTATCTCTTCATCTGGCTGTTCATCTGTATCCTTTATCACACCCTTTAATAAACTGGTAAACACAAGTGTTTCCCTGAGTTCTGAGAGCCACTCTAGCAAATTAATCAAACCCCAGGCGGGGCTGTCTTTGGAAGCTCAATGGTCAGAAGCACAGGTGATAACCTGGTATATTTGAGACTGCTGTTTGAATGGAGGCAGTCTTGAGAGACTGAGTCCTTAACCTGTAGGATCTGTTGCTATCTGCAGGTTGACAGTGTCAGGACTGTAGGGCACCCAGCTACTGATCAGAGAACTGCTTGTTGGTGACCAAAAGTGTCAGAGTGAAATATTCTTTTTTTTTCCTTTCCTTTTTGTGAAATGTTCTTCGTAAGTAGTAAAGGAGATACACAGGCAAAATACACAGCATAGAAGAACTGGGTTTTTCCCTACCTACAAAGGAAAAAGCTGGGGTTTTTTCCTTTTCAAATCTAAATTTACAGATTCAAGAATTTCAGTGGATCCTGCCGAAACCGGTTTGGCTCAGTGGATAGAGTGTCGTCCTGCGGACTGAAAGGTCCCAGGTTCGATTCCGGTGAAGGGCATGTACCTGGGTTGCGGGCACATCCCCAGTAGGAGATGTGCAGGAGGCAGCTGATCGATGTTTCTCTCTCATCGATGTTTCTAACTCTCTATCTCTCTCTCTTCCTCTCTGTAAAAAATCAATAAAATATATTAAAAAAAAATTTCAGTGGATCCCAAGCAGGATAAATACAAAACAAACAAACAACAAAACATACATAGGTACATCATAGTCAGATTTTCGGAAGAAAAGAGGGAGGGGGAGAAAAGAAAAAAAAACTAAAGAAAAAGAATCTTGAAAGGAGCCAGAAAAAAAGAGTACATTACTTTAAGGAGAAAAAAATAACTGAAATTACCACTGCCTTCTCATCAGAAACAATGGAGGTTAGAAAATATGGACCAACACCTTACAAGTAATGGGGGGGGGGGGGCAGTCAATCCAAAATTCTATTAATAGAAATAAAAGAACCTTAAAAAATGAAGACAAGCCCTGGCCGGTGTGGCTCAGTTGGCTGGAGCGTGGTCTTGAACTCTTGAACTCCCTAAAAGTAGTTGTTCAATTCCTGGTCCAGGCACAGACCCAGCAATGCAGGTTTGATCCGAAATGGGAGGCAACCTATCATGTTTCTTTCACACTCTCTTTTCTCTCTCTCTCTCTCTCTCTCTCTCTCTCTCTCTCTCCTCTTCCTTCCCCTTCTCTAAAATCAATAAAAGCATATCCTTAGTTGAGAATTTTTTCTTTAATGAAGACAAAAATAAAAACATTTTTAAGTAAAGCAAAACTAAGAGAATTCATCACCTGCAGACCTGCACTACTAGTACAAGAGTGAGAAAAGTCCATCCCAATATATGATATACTGTCTAATTTCATTTATATAACATTTGTGAAGTTACCTAATTATAAAAATAAAGAACAGATTGTTGATTGCCAGAGGTCAGAGATGAGGGGCTATAAAAGGGCAACCCCAGAAATTCTTGTGGTAATGGAACACTTCTGTATCTTGATGGTATCATTGTCAATATCCTGATAGTGATAATATATAGTTTTGCAAAATGTTACCATTGACGGAAACTGGATAAAGAATACAGGGGAATCTCTGTACTGTTTCTTACAACTGCATATGAATCTATTATCTAAAAGTAAAAGTTTAATTTTTAGAAGCAAATTATTAATTAAATAAAAAATAATGTTTTTAACAATCTGTCAATGTTTTAAAGCAGAGGTTTCAAGCATTCAAAGCTATACTCTAGACAAAACTCGTTGAAGGCAACTGAACTATCCCTCTCTCCAGGCCTGAAAATGTTACATGAACTGCCTTACCTCACCACATCAACATCAATCCTATCATCATTCACATTACCTATAGCAAGAGTGATGAAATTCTTTTTCTTGCGAGTGGATACAGCCAGATTATTATGCTATCCTTTGCATACTGGCATTCTGGGATATCTTAGAATTGATCCTGTTGGTGACATCAGCCACCAATTCAGTGCCACTCATGCTATAATCAGTTTACTTTCTGCACTAAAAGATGTCACTGTATCTTGCCTGTTACAAACTCCTAAAACAGACTGTCCATAGGAATAGCAGTACTATCAAGTCACACTTCTATTTCTAGTGCATGCTGAAGAACCAACTTGTGTTTTGTGTTCAACTCATTTGCTGCCCCAGCATTTCAATTCTCTTTGTCTTCCAGATAATTTCTGAGCCCCTGTACAAATCAGAGATTATTTCCTGCCATCTGATCGGTGGGGCACACATAATAAGAGAAGGGAAGGCCAATTTCTAACTAAATGATAATTAATCTTGCTGCTACTTTCGGGTGACTACTTCATTATTATCAGCCATTTTTAAATAGAGACATCTTTTAAAAACACAATAAGGCTAGCAGAGTTTTTTGGTAGCTACAGAAAACTGTCTGACACTACACTCTATTCATGACTCTCCTTCACTTCTTCTACATATGAAATTGAAGTATATTACAGCTCCTGCAGCATAAAGTGAAGAAGGAAACTGCTCCCTGAAGAGACAGCCTGTACCTTGGCCCCACATCACTAGCTGACTGTGGTGCTCAGGAGTCAGACATTCACAAACAAATACCCAGAACACAGGCAATGAGCTGCCCCTATCTTGGACAGGCCATAAGGCCTCTTGAAGGCACTAACGCAGGAAAGCTGCTCACCAGGCTTTTCAATGGAAGAGGAACAGAAACCATCTGTTACTGCCATGTTTTCCCCTCGAGGCAGATTTGTTCACTTTCTCAACATATTTTCTTTGTAAGATAAGTTTAGATTTGTATATACTGCCATTACTTTTATTGATAATTTGCCTTCTGCTTGACATCTTTCAGGCACCAACCTAGTCCAACTCATGTACCTAATTCTAAAATGTACTATTTTAACATGAGACTGAGGTTTGAGAACCTATCCAGATAGAACTGCTCCAAACCACAGCTAGGACAGAACTTTGGTAGCAAGACATCAAGTATAGATACTGCCTCCCTTTCAGCCCATCTGAATACCCTGCAGGGCACACATCTGTCAAGCTAACATCTAAGTGCTGGCAAGGATGTGGTGAAAAGGGAACACTGTTGGTGGGAATATAAATTAGTCCAACCACTATGGAAAACAATATGGAGGTTCCTCAAAAATTAAAAATAGCCTGACGGGCGTGGCTCAGAGGTTGAGTGTCAAACTATGAACCAAGAGGTCATGATTGATTTCCAGTCAGAGTACAAACCCAGGTTTTGGGCTTGATCCCCAGTGGGAGGTGTGCAGGAGGCAGCCAATCAATGGTATTATCTCATCCTTGATGTTTCTATCTCTCTCCATCTCCCTTCCTCTCTGAAATTCAATAAAAATATATTTTTAAAAAATTAAAAATATATCTACCACACAATCCAGCAATTCCACTTCTGGGTATATACCCAAAGGAAACAGGATTTCAAGGAATATATGCACACCAATGTTTAATTGCAGCATTATTCACAATAGCCAAAATATGAAAACAACCAAAATGGCATCGACAGATGAATGGATAAAAAAGACATGGTATGAACACACAATGAAATATTAATCAGCCGTGAGAAAGGAGGATATCCTGCCATTTGCAACAATATGGATGGACCATGATGAGCACATTATGCTAAGTAAGATAAGTGAGACACAGAAAGACAAGTACTGTAAGTTATCACTTATCTGTGGAACCTAAAAAAGTCAGACCATTAAAAAAATAGATGGTTACCAGGGGACTGGGGGGAGGGGGGAAGAGGAGGAGAAAAGATTGATTGTGTTCAAGGATACAAACTTGTACAAGTAGTAAATAAGTCATAGAGATCTAATGCACAGTATAATGAACATCCTACATAATAAAAAGGTAATATGCAAATTGACCGGCACACCCTCACACAAGAAGGCTGCCCCTATGTGGCCAAAGATGGCCGCCTCCATGTGGTCACAAGATGGCCAGCAGGGGAGGGCAGTTAGGGGCAACCAGGCCGGCAGGGGAGAGCAGTTGGGGGAGACCAGGTGGGGAGGAAAGGTCAGTTGGGGGGGACCAGGCCGGCAGGGGAGGGCAATTAGGGGTGACTAGGCCGGCAGGAGAGGGCAGTTGGGGGCAATCGGGCCGGCAGGAAAGCAGTTAGGAGTCGATCAGGCTGGCAGGGGAGCGGTTAGGGAGCGATCAGGCTGGCAGGCAGAAGCAGTTAGGAGCAATCAGGCAGGCATGTAGGCGAGTGGTTGGGAGCCAGCAGTCCCAGATTGTGAGAGGGATCCCAGACTGGAGAGGGTGCAGGCTGGGCTGAGGGACACACACACACACACACACACACACACACACACCACCAGTGCACGAATTTCGTGCACCGGGCCTCTAGTAGATAATAACATTGTACAAAGATGTAATGTGACAAATATTGCTTCAATGGCACTCATATTATAATATATAAATGTATCAAAGTAACATGCTGTATACCTTAAATTTACAAAGTTTGACATGTCAAATAAAAATATTCAGATTTATTAAAAAAAAAAAAAACCTGATGAAAGGAAAGGAGAAAGAGCTCTTGAAAATAAGTGAAAAAGCCTGGAATTCTAGGCCTACTACAATCAAGACTTACATAAATCACTA